CCCGTCCTTCGATCCGGGCTAGAACGGATGCCAATGAAAGATTTGAACAGACCTTTTTCGTTTCGTCTTCTTGGTCTCCAGCTTCGTTTTTCCGGAAAGAGCCGAAGATGCCCGAACGAGAGGCGGCCTTGCGCAACCCACCACAGCGCGTTTGATTTCAATTGCAGGTTCATCTTTGCAAATTAGAATCTTTCGCAATGGCATGCTTACGCATCTTTTATTGACTGGTTTTGTTCCCTTTTTGTTTTGATGCATTTGATTTTAGGAGCTTAATTTTATGTGATGATTTTTTAATTTATTTTTGGGGGGTGGGGGCGGGGGCCCTCCGAGCAATTTTCCTCTCCTGCACAATTCTTTATCTTTCGTTGCCACGTTTCAGGTTGCGTATCGATCGTGACCAATTCAACATCAATTGAGTTTCATAAAGGAGGTTCCGTCAGGCCCGCGGGATCATTTCAAAGTGAAAAACAGCATCAACGACACGGAATTCATAGTTTGAATAAGGGGCAATTCGTGGAGTATCCGCTAGGGGGCACGCTGTTTGGATCAGAGAAGAAGACAACAGCGGCCTCAGTGTGTCACTGAGGCAGCCCCAACACAGCAGACGCTGTCAAGGACATGTGAAGACGTGAGTCTTTCCACTTTTATGAGCACTCTCCTTAGTTCGGAAGGGAGGGAGGGATTACATTTCGAGTTTAGATGCACGTGTGGAAATGGCTGAAAAATTCCTTTCTTTAGAAATCTCGTTTCATCTTAAAGTGCATGACTATATTTTTCAACAGCCACGACTTGTTGAAGTTTTGTGTCTTTGTACAGTCAGTGGGATCAGTTGCAATGCGTTTTTGTGAATGAGAAAAGTCAATGGCACATTTTTCGAAGGACACCAAAAGTGCTTCATGAAATGTTTTGTAATAGATCTGTTCATTAAATGTCAACATTTTCCTCATGTTCTTGTGCTTCCTTAGACCAAAACAAAGGAAAGACGTATTTTGCTTCACGACAGCAGAGTATTGGATGGATCATTTTAATGGTCCGGCCCACTTGACATCGACCGAGGCCGAACGTGGCCCACAATGTCAAATGAGTTTGACACCCCCGGTCAAAGGAATTGGACTCTCGTATCCAATCAATGAGCGGCAGAGGCGGAGCGTCGCAGAAATCAAATCGCGAACTGCCGTCAGTCGACTTTGCTGGCGTAAAACAAACAGCGGTCATCACCAATAAGTCTGCCAGCCCCCCCTAGTGGAGATTGTGCAAAATGTCCTTTTCCCTCTCACCGCACCGAGTGAAAAATGTCGACGCGCCTTGGACCGCCCGCCGTCCAACAAAGACAACACGTGTTGAAGATGCAGCGTCTTTATTTTCCTCGGTTGTGACATCACACTTCTTATCTCCCATGACGACAAGTTGCGGCACCTTGACGGAAAAGCTCCAGCGGGCCGGCGCAAACACTTCTCTTCGAAATGAAGCAGACAAACGCGAGCGGTCCTCAAGGTCAGGAAAAGGCCACGCGGTCACCGGCTTGACGGGAAGTGAGCGCGTTGGGAAAGAGTCAGGACGCCAAACGCCTTTCGGCCCAAATCGGTGCTCACGTGGGCTCGGGACGCGCGGGGGTCAACCTTCCGCTCTCAGGTCGTTGTTTTTTGCCGAAAATAAGAACTGACTTTGAAAGAAATAGAAATGACCGACGACCTTGTAAGTTAGTACAACAAAGCAAGCGAGTTGTTTCCTCCCAATCAATTTTCGGTGTTGTTTTTCATTGACCTCTTGAAGACTTTTTTTCCCTCCTTTGTTGTAAATTGTGGGACAGCCAACTTTCCAAAAGCAAACCTTCAAGCATTCGATTGCCCCAATGAAACTCCTGTCAAAATTTCTTGCCTTGAAATTTTCCGTTTGGCCAACCTGTATTCTTTTGTTTTGTTTTTTTTTTTACATTTTATTTTGGCGGTGCAGTTGTCCACCTGCGCCGCCGATGAGATGTCCTTCCAACTGACTAACTTCCAGCCGGTGGCTCGCCTGCGGGATATCTGCAAAGTCGTCTTCCGCATTGTAACAAAAAAAAAAAAACTAAAACATGAATTTACGTAGTGACAACGTTGAATATATAAATTCTTGACAGTTACGGCAACAATAGCGCGGCACAGCAAGCGCGTTGTTCTCTATGAACAACATGAATCAGTTTGTCAAGTCACGTCAAAAGTTAAGTCCAAGTCCAAGTGGAGTCTCAAGCCCGTCGAGTTTTTTTTTTTTTTTTTGTTTTGTTTTTGTCATGTCAAGTCATGAAAACGTGACTCCGGCCAGGTCGCGATGAGCCCATCCGCGCTAATTGGCGCGTCAAGCTCTGACGTTGTCTTTCGGCTACTAAATGGCGACCTCTGCTGGCAGCAACGTGTCCGCAGCTTATCAAACACGGCAGTGTGCGTGCCTGTGTGTGTGCGTGTGTGTGCGCGCGCGCGTGTGTTCGTGTGCCTTTGGTTTTTTTTTTAGTGCGCGTGTGTTTTTGTACAGCAGTCTGATCGTCCCTCCAGGCTCCGCCCCTTCACAAACCACAGCGCTCACGTCCTACATCAGGGCCCCCCCCCCCCACACA